TGGCTTTTGTTATTATAAAGAGAGGTAAGTACATCCCTTATCCCTGACCCCACTCACCAATCCTTTCCTCCCTTTCTATTTGGGTTCGTTTGGTTCGTAATCCAAATCGGAATACAATAGATAGGGATGTAATAGGATGAGATTTAGCAAAATTCGAATTTAGATTTAATCCAATTCCACTTTTACTTTTTTTTAAATGTAAAAAAGATTAAAAGTTAATTATTTTTTAACTTTTATATGTAATAAATTAATGAAAATATAACATACTAAATTTAATATATATATATATATATATAAATTTATATATAATATAATATATAAAATATATTTTTTATAATTTTAAATATAATCATATAAAGTTTACTTTTTAAAGTCAATAAGTATTATAATTGAACGAGATTCCGATGGAATTGAATCCAAATCCGATTTGATAATATAAATACATCATTCAAATCCGACATAGTTGGATTGGATGTCAAATTGGACCACAGGTTTACATAAATACATTCTCCACTTAACCTGTTTGGTTCGATCAGAATTGGAATTGGAATTGGAATTGGAAATAACTAGAATGGATTATCATTTCCAAGGGAGAGGGAGAAAATGACCATTGTCTAAAATGGGAAATACCATTCCATTAAGAATAGGATCAGGCTTCATTGGGGACTCTGAATCTCCTATCCATGGCAACTCTGTCCACAACTACCCACAAAACACTACTCCCGTGCATCGGGAACATCTCCCCATGCATAACACTATGTAAGAGCATGAAATGTTCTCCATGTGTTATTGCGATCTCATGTGGATAGGAGATTCAGACTCCTAATTGGGGTGGAGACGGATTTTGGGATTCTACAACCTGTATGGATATGTGTAGAGTACAATACTAAGTTAATCAAATAATTAGAAAGTATGTGAACTTTATGTATTAGATATTGAATTCTATTAAGAATAGTTGATAGTTTGAGTTTTTTACATGTCTTAATCAAATAATTAGAAATTTTGATGTTTGTCTATGTTATCTTATTTATTACTTATATATAACAGAAAATGAGAGAAAATTATAGACAGAAATCACCCTACTCTAAAATGCGGGGAGATTTTGGATTCTGAAAATCAACAACCCATTACAAGTTTTGGGGCGGGTATGGATTGAGAGGTTTAAGGAGATGAATAAGTTTTAGAATATACAAAATCTTCTTGTTACCATCTCTAATTCTGATTCTAAAGGTTGGATCATTCTTATTCCAATTCCAGACCCCCTATTTCCACCAACCAAATGCACCCTAACATTCCTCAAAAGTCAGATTTGTATCTATCGAGCAATTCTTGACCCGATGAAGGGGGAGAGCGGAGAGCAGAGAGTTGCACAGACTGGCCGGCTTGCATAATTGAAGAGGCCGGACAGGACGCCAAATTAAAGTCTGATAAACTTGAATGTGGTATGCATGATTATCAAACATAATCCAGCGTAACGGTCTATCTATAAAACTTAGAATTAAGGTGGAGCGTTATTGGTGAAACAAAGTTGGTAAAGGCCAAATGCAGAGATGTAGGAGAGAGAGCAGAGTGAATAGTGGGTGAGTTTCGATTGATAGATGCAAAAGTCCAAATGCGTAGAACCAAATCTCTTGGCGCTTTCCAGGGAATTTGGTTAAGCTTTTGAAGACATAAAGGCCAAAGGGGATGGAGCAACCTTACTCAGAGGGAAATTAAAAATTCCTCTGGAAATCCAGCTCCCATGCGGCCATGCATATGGAGTTTAGTAGAGTCTAGAAAACCAATCAGTCGTTGGAGTAGCACTAGCACACAGCTGGCTTGGGCCAGCCCTTTAATTTGATTAGATACTTTCAGTTGCCAGGTGAGCCAACTGCTGTACGTATACATTTGTGCATGGTAGATGAACACGAGAGGAGAGCACTTGGCTCCACTGATCCAAGAAGAAGGGTAACAGAACATGAAGGACAAGACAGTAACCCATTATATTGCAAAAGACAAAGGGGCTTTATATTTAGGTAAGGGATTCCCTTAATTATTTCCTTCATATTGCAGTTGCTACAAGAGATGCATAGATGTGTCCTTGTCTAATAGCAACCCTTAGGGTTAGCTGGACTGAGATTGAGGGATGATGATACATTCATATGTGCTCTCTCTCTCTCTCTCTGGGTGACAAGTTGGCAATGCCCGTGAACTTGTTTGCTTTTCCTATGACATGCTGGTCGGTAGTCACGGACAGGTCATCATATATGTCTGTGTTGAGACATTAGATGAGACTAGATTGAAATGATCATTCATCTATCAAGATTGAAATGATCTCACTTTGACAAATAATGAGACTAGATTAGCCAAATCAGGTTCAATTAGCTAAGTTACTGAATTAAGCTAATAAAGCAGAAGAATTTGGAATAAGAGATTTTTTTGAAGACGGGTGGGTTGTTGGACTTGGGCACGACCCATTCTAACCCCACTAAACTAATCCTCTCCCCACTGGGACCCACACCAATGGATGATATGGGCAAATCCAAGCAACCCTTGGGATAAATGAACTACATATATGTGGAGTATCAGTTTCCACATCATAATCTATTCCTATTGTGCTAATTTCGAAATTATGTTCATCTTAATTGAAAAGACATCTCATTCTCAGGCTAACAAAAATTTCCCAAACCCCAATCAAGGTTTTTTCCTTTGTCAGCCACATTGAGCCTGGGTTTCATATTGTCCTTCACATATTAATGCTATAATTTTTTTTTTTTTTTATTTTGCATCAATAAAATGAGGTTCTAGTGAAAAGTGACCATTAACAAGTATTTACACGTCTCTAAATATTGATTCCTTAGAAATTAAAGTCATTGGTGATTTTTCACTTTTCATGAGTAAAGCATTTAGCAAAAGTAAGAATTATGATTATACTTTTCAATACAAAATTACAGTAATCTGTTTCATGCTAAGACTGCAACTGGACCAGGCAAGCAAAACAAGCTACGTGGTCCACATATTATTCATTTATTTGGACTACCTGGGCTTGGTACTGGGCCTATTGTGTGGTATTGATTGGATTAACCACTAGGGACAAGGTAATACAAGCTCACATGACAAGACAAATATGCACAGTTTTTTGTTGGATTCAGTCCATAAACTGCGTATATGAACAAGAACCTTCAATTAGATCTTTGCTGTTTGTTTAACTTGCCACGTGGAGTCTTTAAGCAATCTTGACAAGCTATTGGAAAGACCCTGAAGCAAACCGTCCTTCAAATAACTGACGGCTGATTTGAAATTGGGCTCTCCAGATTTAGTTTATAGGTTGTCTGTCTGAGGCCCACCTCAGAAAGTCAGGAGCCTCTGTGCTTCAGCCCTTCCAAAATGAAAGGGCATTCCCGTGGAATCTTTTGGCTTTGTGAGGTGGATCCCATCTGAACAACCTACAACAAATGTTTGGTGAAAAACCAGCAAGTCCAAATTAGATGTTTTTGAGCAAAGAACAGCTTTCACTTGTAGCATTGCAAGATAGATCCCACAAAGAAAACTCTGAAGCCCTTCCAATGAAACTATTTTCTCTGTAGCTTTTCCAAGGCGGCTCAGTTAACGCTGAAACCCTCCCAAACAGTCCCTGAGTGCAGGGTAGTGGCGGATTAGGCTGGCTTTAGTGCGTTTAAGTGAATGCATGCCATCCCTTAGAAGTCAGCAGCGCCGTAGCTTCTAAACGTCGCTCTGAAAAACAGCCAGTATTTGATGATCAAAGAGCATACAACAACACTTTAAGCTATTATCCAGAAAAGCAAAAAGGAAAAACACTTTAACTACTTCTAATTGAACGGTTTCCTTTCTCTTTTGAAGAAAAAAGTAGGTTCTCGATCTATAGGGCGTCTTACAAATTAAGGAATAGCATCTGACGTAGCTTCAAATGCAAACAGACCATTCCAATTGGAGGAGATAGATTTACTTGAGTTGAGGCCGATACCCACCAATCCTGATCGTAAACGTTACTCCTTCATGAGGCCCTATATATAATATTCTGTCTTTTTTATTTTTGTTCTAACGAGAAGGAAGTTTTATGCTTTCCGATTAATTCTTGGTTTTGGATGGAGTAAAAGCGAGTAACCACCAACCGGTCATGTCCCCGTTTGGTTCACAGGAATAGGGGCTTGGAATCGGAACTGTTTGGTCGGGCAGAATTGAAATTCTATTTTTATTCGAGGCGGAATGGCATTCCCTCGTTTAAAGGAATGGTCAATTACCTTCTTTCACTTGAGAATGAGATTCCATTCCATCTGATTTCAATTTGAATTCATTTAAGCCAAACAGATTATGAGAATATATATTATCCCAATTCCGATTCCAAAAAATTCTGATTCTAGTTACGATTTCGATTGGACCCTTAAGTTCTAAGATTCACATCAGTGTTTCTACCCATACGGGTTATATTGATACTGTTTCCATAGATATCAGCATTCAATCCTTAGGCTTAGGTAAATGATGCAATAATCATACACCATTGCTGTGTGATGGGATATTCTCCTCACACCCACATCTCACTGTGTATTGAGAATATCTCCCACGAATAATAATGAAAGATGGTCTCGAGGTGCAACTGAAACGAGCAGATCCGAACTCGTTTGCTGTAGGGTAAAAACCAATGGGCTAGGAATTAGGACCGAGATCATAAATGGTTTGGTCTGATCGTAGACATGAATGTGCACTGAAATTTGGAACCGCTAAAGAGGTTAACTTGATCACCTACACCAGCAGCCACCGATCAAACCTTGGATGACACAGAGCTAATTAAGTCATAAAAACTGGATTCATGTTTCATCTTGACTTGGGTCAATCCTTCGGTCCAACCGGGAAATGGTTCATTTAATTTCATTGGCAGGTCCGCCTTCCGTGCTTGCTTTAAGACATGGACTGAAGTTCGAGGATTTTTCATAGGTCACCCATCCTAGTATATTACTCTCACTCAAATACGATTTTACCGACGTAGCAAGCAAAGTTGCAGTTGGAACATATAAATGGTGTGATCATAGTTAAGCAAGCATCCAAAAAGGAGGGAAGAACTTAAAAACTTTACCCCTCCAGAGTCCAGACATACATTGATTTGGTTATTTCAAGTTAGGGAGATGATGGGTAGTATAGATAAAAGATGGAGGCTTCTTAACGGCCAGGAAAATTGGAAGAATCTCTTGGATCCTCTAGACATTGATCTCCGGCGAAACATAATTCACTACGGAGAAATGGCTCAGGCGACTTATGACACCTTTATCACTGAGAAAGCCTCCAAGTTTGCCGGAAGCAGCAGGTATGCAAGGGCGGATTTCTTTTCCAAGGTGGGTCTAGTGAAAACCAATCCTTTCAAGTATCAGGTAACCAAATTCCTGTACGCTACATCCCGGATCGAAGTCCCAGAAGCGTTTATCATCAAATCGTTGTCAAGGGAGGCATGGAGTCGGGAATCGAACTGGATGGGTTATGTTGCAGTGGCCACAGATGAAGGGAAGGCTGTATTAGGCAGGAGGGACATTGTGGTTGCATGGAGAGGTACAGTGGAGGACTTGGAATGGGTTGACGATTTCAGCTTCAACTTAGTTTCGGCCTCTGAGATACTGGGAGGCACCAATGATCCTAAGGTCCATCAGGGTTGGTTGTCCATCTACACTTCTGACGATCCAAGGTCGCCATTCAACAAGGCCAGTGCTAGAGACCAGGTGAATAAATCTCAATTTCTGATATGCAACTGTGATTTAGATTGACTGGTTTAAGGGGGAGAAAAGATGGATGAATTATAATATTGATAACTCTGGTATGAATTATGAAATCTCAGGTTCTGAGCGAGGTAAGGAGACTGGTGGAATTATTCAAAGACGAGGAGATCAGCATAACCATAACAGGCCACAGTCTGGGGGCAGCTCTCGGAACATTGAACGCAGCTGATATTGTTGCTCATGGATTAAACAAACCCAGAAACCATCCACACAGGGCCTGTCTAGTTACAGCAATTCTGTTTGCTAGTCCCCGCGTCGGAGACGACAACTTCCAAGAAGTCTTCTCCGGCCTGGAAAACCTCCGACTATTACGTGTTCGTAACGCCTTGGATGTGGTACCCAATTACCCACTTCTGGGCTATTCAGATGTGGGAGAAGAGTTGGCAATTGACTTCCGGAAATCGAAATTCATAAAGGCTTCTGCAAACCCATCGCTTTGGCACAACCTGGAGTGCTATCTGCATGGAGTTGCAGGAACTCAAGGAGCTAAAGGAGGATTCAAGTTGGAAGTTGGGCGTGATATTGCGCTTGTGAACAAAACGACGGACGCATTGAAAGATGAACATCTTGTTCCAGTGTCGTGGTGGTGCGAGAAGAATAAGGGGATGGTTCAAAGGGACGACGGAACCTGGAAGCTGATGGACCACGAGGAAGATTATCCAGAGTTTTGAATCTTAAATTGACCGTTGCATTGCATTGAGTAGAACCATATATTCTCTATTCCACTGTTCACTGGATTCTTTGGTTTGGCCTGGTTTGTTTATAAAATGCATTGGTGCAAAAGTATAGGAGCGCAAATGAGTTCAACGCAATTTCTCTTTTATTTTGTCCGGACTTTTACATTATTTTGTTTGTTTAGGTGTAAAAGTAAAACCCGAAGTAAAAATGTACCAGAATTTACATTCTTTTGATTTGCACTCCTAAACATTTGAACTAGTGCATGTATATGAAATTGTATCGTAGCGTAGACAAATGAAATGGGCCTGGACTTAGTGACTAGTGAGGGTCCATGTGCACCGCTAGGGACAATTACCTTAGTATCTTTGCATTTAGAAATACCATTAGAAATATATGAAGATGTCATTGCATTACCTCATAGCTAGGTAAAACCCATGCTTATATTTGCTAATGATGAAGCGATTTTTGGTGATGTATCAATCTTTTGTGCTAAGTACCTCGTCATTTGGTCTGAACTGGGGGCAGATAAGGTGCCGAGTTAACTGGGCCAAGTTGGGCAGGTTAGGTGACGAGCTGACTGAGCCGAGCTAGGCAGGTTAGGTGACGAGTTGACTGGGCCGATCTGACCAGAGTGCCGAGTTGCCTGGTGGCGAGCTGGATTGATTGTTGAGCTTCGTCGTTCTTTAGAGACGTGCAAGGAATCAATGTCAGAGGACCCAGGGTGGCTAACCCGGCGAGGTCGCTCCGATGCTTAAGTCAGTACTCTCATAGTAGACTGCGAGCTAAAAATCACAAAGTATGAGAGCTAGACTATGCTTAGTTGCCCCCCTCTACCATTGGGGTTGGTGCCTTTATATAGGCATAGTTTGGCATGGGCTTCACGCATCGTATTCGAGATTTCCGCGAGGTCATCTAAGTGGTTCGAGATTCCCGGAGGTAACCGCCATGCATGTTGACCACCCTTCGGATCATTCGGCACGTGGGCCAACTTCCAAGGATCGTGGGAGATATGCATGTCGAATTTTTCGGCGAGCATGTCTCGCAGGTCGCCAGGTTGGTGCCTGTGCCAGGCTGTCAGGCCGTGCTAGGGCCAGGCCGTCAAGTTGGACACCATCAACTTGGCAAGTTGTTGCCTGAGTGGTTCCGGGCGTCACCTAGTTGTTCTGAGGTGCCATGTGTCACAATGTCATTGGAGGGCCAAATCCGCCCTCATCAGCTACCATTTTGAGTTTGAATTTGTTTTTATACAGTAAGTCTGTGTTTGGAAATGATACAAATAAGTGTGAATGCAAATATGTAGTGTAAAACGGTTCATATAAATTGCAAAGTTGGATTAGTTTTGTACTGACAAATTTACCTTCTTACCAAATAAACTTTTAGCTGTAATGGATGCAAACATGAATTTCAATAAAACACATGTTTTTTTTCTTTTTTTTATAAAAGCTCACTTGAATGCAAATTTACTTCCTTTTTATTGATGTACTTTTACATCTTAGGCTGCGTTTGGAAGGAGTACAAATGCAAACATATAGAGTGCAGAACCTTATATTTTGTGTTATTTTGTATGTATTTAGACTGTACATATTTGCATTTGTACTCTTTCCAAACTGAGCCTTATTATCAATGTAAATATACATTGATCTGTTTTTGTCAAATACAGGAAAAAATGAACCAGAGTGCAAATTTACCCTGTACCAGTATTTACACTCCATTTGCATCGTTTCCAAACACAGCCTAAACTACAATTTAAGTACTGAAACAAGATGGATTTATTGGGTTTGGTTCAAGAAAGTCCAGAAGGTCAGGTCTGTATGCAATAACTCTTCTCCCTTCTGGATTGCTAATGACAAATGCATTGCTGGGCTGCTATATTCTTGGCGTGGGTGACGAAGTCGGGTGAAATTCAAGGAAGGAGACTAAGGAGATGGTGAGCAGGTTACGGTAAAGGTGAGTTTGGAAGCCGCAATAAGCAAGTGGGCAGCTCATCAAGTAATCTGTTGCTGAAGGGTGCGGTTTGGGAAGGTTAAGCCGGAACCTATCCAGAAAATGGTTGCATTAGGACGAAGGCCTGGTGAGGGTAAAGGTGTCAATGGATTGAATTTGGGTTGGACTCTAAATCAAAATCAATTTGGACGGATTGGATGTACTAATAAGACATATTGAATCAGACGAGTCCAGACTTCTGGTCCAAAGTATTTATTGAATTAGAGTGGACCTGGTTCATATCCCTAATGGATTTATATTGGATTGAACTAATATCTGATCCATTGATATAAGATAAGAATAGATGTGTCAATGGACTAGGTTTGGGTTGTAACCAATTTAAATTAAAACCAATTTGAACATATTAGACCGTCTAGACATTAAATTGGACCTATCCAAAATGATCCAACGTTTTCATCTGATATTAGATTGGACCTGGTCCATCTGTAATAGATTCATATTGGATTGGGCCAAATTCGGTCCAATTGACACTCATTGAGGGTTTGGATTGAAAGATGCCAATTCGAAGTTAGATTGGATTGGGTCAGAGTTGACGCCTAGGACATGCAATCCAGCAACTTCATTTTTTAAGAAGACTAATGCATCCAAGTTATCTTATGCCATGTTTCTCATAGTCGGGAATATTTTGCGATAATAATATTAGAAATGATGATGTTATCATCGGGAGATGTTCCCAATACACGGTGGAGATGTATTGTGGAACGTTGTGAGGGGGGGGGGG